AACATACTAATGTATTAATCTTAATGTCACTTCGGGATAGGTCAGTACAACACAGTACACTGCGACCCTGGGAATCCCCCCCCGGAGTTATGTTGGATATTTCCAACATCGAATACAGCATTGTTGTATTCTCATTACTTATTACTAACCATATTAAATATTGTAGTAAGTAAAATTAACAACTCGTAGAATTCTCCTGTACTAATAATTCATCTGTGCATTAGGCTAGAATTCTCACGTCACCTGACGCCAGTATTGCGTCAGATTTCTTTACAGTAAAACACATTATATTCAATTTGTGTGAGAATTAAATACGATTCTCCATAATTAAAGCATTCTGTATGACAACTGATTGCAGACGAATTGTTCTCTAACTAAAAGCCGAATAGAGCATTAGAATCATAGCGTCTACCTCGCGGTAGTGTTAACGTCATCAATGAATGCCATGGGGAGACATTAATTCCTCTCCCTTATATATTTACTATTCTTAAATAGGTAAATAATAATATTTCGTTCCTCTAAATAATAAACCCGTCCAGTCTTTAGAGTTTCAAGCGCGAATGCGAGAAATATTAATGTTCAAGACAATAATTTGTGTAATGAACGTCGACTCGGCGTGGGTTGGGGGACGCCATCCTCAGTCGGTGCGTGGACACGTGCAGAGCTGAAAGGAAGCAAACTTGCGCTCACCGTACTCATAAGAATACACCCTTGTCCAGCAAATAGGACAAGTGTGTCCATCCACAGATGAAAGCCGCCACTGTGAGGCGTGAACGACCTTGCAGATAATATCTTCAACTAGTGCTGGTGTTAAATAAGGGACCCCTAGACTTGGTTCCTGACGACACGTGATCAGCCAGCTTGAAACGCATCAATCCAGGATAGGTTCACCGGAGCCTGGGATGCGAAATTACGGCAATCTTAATACTTATACAGTGCCCACAGCTAAGTACCTTTTATTTGATGCATCATTTACAGGTTTAATAATAGCGGGGTGATTGCGCGTCACGCGGCGAGATAACACCTAATAACAGGTGATTAGAATTCCATCTGTAGATATTAATAATCTTGAATATGAATTGAGTAGTTAAATCAATTGCTACTGGTAGTTATTTATCTTGCAGCTCGAGAGACGAATCCCTCATGCTGTCTTCTCCATGTTAACCGTGCCATTCGTCGGTGTACCAGACTTGGAGATTAAGAGGACTTCCAGGGTTATCTAAAGGAACCTACTACAAGCTAAGGCTTATTTCTTTTTTCCATATTCTAGCAATTTGATACATTCAGAATGTTTAACATAATGTGTGATTTACTGTAACTCATTACTATGCTCATATTCATGTTCTTCTTTGTATGAATAATATTATATTCACCATTATTTATAGGATTAGATTATTATTAATTGAATTAGTGAACGAACCACACTGATTCCTGGACGTACTGACCTCCAGTAATAACCCCCCAATGTAGGTGTTTGAGGTTTGTTTCTTTAATAATACAGCCCATTAATTATTCTTATGATCATACTTTCTAGTTATATCCATAGTCACTGGTTTTCTCTAGAATTTTATCTAATGATCTGAAATTCTCAGTTTCCCTCTTTACTTTAAAAGCGGGTGGTCCTTCGTAATTTAATTTACTATTTTTAATTATTAATTAATCAGAATCAAGCCCAAATATCCCACATGGTGTGGTGTGGTTTGGGTGGTGTGGTGTGGTTTGGGTGGTGTGGGTGGGTTGGTGTGGGTGATGTGGTTGGGTGTGGGGGGATGATGTGGGTGGTGTGGGGTGTGTGGGGGATGATGTGGGGTGTGTGGGGGATGGTGTGGGGTGTGTGGGGGATGATGTGGGGTGTGTGGGGGATGGTGTGGGGGATGATGTGGGGGATGATGTGGGTGGTGTGGGGTGTGTGGGGGATGATGTGGGTGGTGGTGTGGGGTGTGTGGGTGGTGGTGTGGGGTGTGTGGGTGGTGGTGTGGGGTGTGTGGGTGGTGGTGTGGGGAGTGTGGGTGGTGGGGGCGAATGGTGTTAGTGGTGTGGGGGATGGTGTGGGTGGTGTGGGGGATGGTGTGGGTGGTGTTGGGGGATGGTGAGGGTGGTGTGGGGGATGGTATGGGTGGTGTGGGGGATGGTATGGGTGGTGTGGAGGATGGTGTGGGTGGTGGTGTGGGGAGTGTGGGTGGTGGGGGCGAATGGTGTTAGTGGTGTTGGGGATGGTGTGGGGGTGTGGGGGATGGTGTGGGTGGTGTGGGGATGGTATGGGTGGTGTGGGGATGGTATGGGTGGTTTGGGGATGGTATGGGTGGTGTGGGGGATGGTGTGGGTGGTGTGGAGGATGGTGTGGGTGGTGTGGAGGATGGTGTGGGTGGTGTGGGGATGGTGTGGGTGGTGTGGAGGATGGTGTGGGTGGTGTGGAGGATGGTGTGGGTGGTGTGGGGGATGGTGTGGGTGGTGTGGGGATGGTATGAGTGGTGTGGAGGATGGTGTGGGTGGTGTGGAGGATGGTGTGGGTGGTGTGGGGGATGGTGTGGGTGGTGTGGGGGATGGTGTGGGTGGTGTGGGGATGGTGTGGGTGGTGTGGAGGATGGTGTGGGTGGTGTGGAGGATGGTGTGGGTGGTGTGGGGGATGGTATGGGTGGTGTGGAGGATGGTGTGGGTGGTGTGGAGGATGGTGTGGGTGGTGTGGAGGATGGTGTGGGTGGTGTGGGGGATGGTGTGGGTGGTGTGGGGGATGGTGTGAGTGGGGTGGGGGATGGTGATTCTCGCATCTCAGATTATTGACACCAAAAGAGCATGAAAGATATTATAATGAAGCACCACACAACAAAGAAACAAACTAATGTGTCCTGGCATATGTTTAAAAAAAAAAAAAAAATAAGAAGGTTGTTGGGGCCAGACGGATGGAACGAATTCCGCACTGGAACGAATCGGCTTCGCCCCATATAGTTCGTTCAAGTGAGGACACACTGTATTGTCGGCTCATTTACGTCATTGGTAGGTACAATTAAATTTTTTTTAATTTTTTTCGTGGTCAGGGAACACAAATTAAGAGGTTAATAAGAACAAAAAAAAAATTTGATTTATTTTTATGCATCTGTGGGTGTAAAAGGCCAAATAGCCCTTAGCAGCTTGGAGGTTAATTAAATATTATTATTATACCAGTACTGTAGTGCATTCGGTATTGTATATTAACCATTAATTTGCGCATCGCATCATATGATGCTTTGACCGACTTGCAGTAAATTGCGCTTCGCATCATATGATGCTTCGGAGTACTACGCAAGATTTAAACGGCCAGTGGATACACGGGATTCACCACACCTTCATCAGGGCTCTTGTAAACAGACGCCATTTTTTTTTTAAATCGTGGGCCAAATTCCCGGGTGTTAGGGGCCTCAGTATTGAGTGAGGTACCAAGCCTGATGCACGCAGCATGAGCTCACAGCACTGCTGTTCTGCTCGTGACCACAGCATCGCCTAAAAATGCCATAATATACTTGTTCATGCTATTATGTAGCGATGATATTATTACAGAAGATCCCTGACTGTGATAAAACTGACCAGGGTTCTGATAATAGCAGGATTGTGGTGATATTTAGCACTGTGCTCCATGGAGGGAGGAATAATGCTGTGGGAGGGGAGGGTAGTGGCGTTCTCTTCTGACTGTGTGTGGCCACCTTTTATTGACTGCACTCACCATACCAGCTTAGTGGTTAGCTATAGTGAACACAAATGTAGATACTTATATATAACATGTGTATAGAGGGTATAAACAGCAAGAGGAGTAAGTTGGGAGCCGTCATTTTGGTGAGGGCGGTGGCGTCATCTGCACGACTTATCATGTTGTTTACCGGTGACCACGATGGTCTTTGGCCACCATACCAGTTTACTTGTACAAGTATGGTGAATAAAATTGGTAGATATTTATATATAATGTGTGTGTATATAGCGCAATAACACCACAAACAGTATTGTTGGAGGAGAAATATTAGTGCGTCTGGCCTTGAGGGCAGCAGCCATTAGCTGACTGTGTGAGTAGCAACGTCTTTGTGCCTTTACTCACCATACAAGCTTAGATGTACAGCTATGGTGAACAAAACATGTAAATACTTATATATAACGTCTGTATATAAAAGCAAAAACAGTATGGTGGGAGGAGAATGGTGGCAAGTCAGGTGACTTGAGGGAGGGAGGAAGTATCAGCCAGTGGCGGGCTGAAACTGGCACTGCCACGCAGCATGCCAACTTAGTGGTTTGTTATGGTGAACACGAGTGTAGATACTTATATATAGCGTCTGTATACAGCGAATAAAAGCAAAAACAGTATTGTGGGAGGAGAATGTGGGTGAGTCAGGTGACTTGAGGGAGGGAGGAAGTAGCAGCCAGTGGCGGGCTGCCACTGACACTACTACTCAGCATGCCAACTTAGTGGTTCATTATGGTGAATAAAACATGCAGATACCTATATATAACCTGTGTATATAGTGTAATAACCGACAAAATATTTGTTCACTGTTTGATGAACAAAATAATTGAATCAACAATATGTACACCATATTTTTGAGTACAGTGATGATTCACTCATTTTATTATATAAATATATCACACTACACACCATTGAATAATATTACAGCAAAAAAACTACAAAAAATCAATCAGAGACATTGAAATAATTAGGTAATTATCTATTTGTGGCAACTCCAGCCTGACAGCTGGCGAGTAACAGACCGCCTTGGACGCATGCTGAATCAGCGCCTGTTTTTTGCCAGACTTCCCCACCCTATAGCGGGCAATATATGCCACTTATGATTTTTTTTTATTATTTTTCCCATGATCAGTGAACACAAATTAACAGGTTAGGAAGAAAAAATATTTTTTTTTTTTTTTTTTTTGGTATGCGCCTGTGGGTGTCAAATGGTATATAGCCATGCACCATTTAAGGGTTAACAATTATTTTTAAAATTAAAAAAGATGCCTTGAAATTTTTTTATTTAACTTACCTTTTTTTATTCTCATTGTCTTAGAACCATCATAAGCAGAGAAGACTCCATTACAGGTTGCATCACCTGATTGTGCCATTCGGTAGTCAATGTTGTCTTCTGCTTCTCTTGCTCGTTCCCATGCAAAGCACCGGTACCGATCTTCATCGGTCAGAGCCCGGCTAGCTTCTAGCTGACCTACGAAATACCGTGTGGAACCCTCCTTCCAGTGGCCAATACACTCAACCTCTTCCACTGTTAAAGAGGAACAAACATTGAATATGAAACCCATTAAATACACTGTCACCAATATTTCCAAGCTCAAATTTAAACCCACAATTTTAGTGGTGAATGAATATATATACAGTGCAAATTCATTTGAACAAACTACATAGAGCAAAGCAAATTCATTATGAAAGAGATTTCTTTCAACTTTGTTGGCCCCAGACAAACCCATCCCAGGATAAAAAAAAAATAAAATAAAAAACACTGTTGAACTTAGGTGTAATAAAACCCATGAGCACCACACCAGAAATAAATATCTTTGATATTCCCAGAGTCAGGCTAAATCTGTGCAAATAAAATAATAGGACCCCAGTCTTTGGAACCCATGCCTTGATGAATTAAAAAATGTTCCAACCAATTCCTTGTTCAAAAGTAAAACCAAAAAGTTCCTAACTACATCCTCATAGTTTTCTACCTTGTGCTTCAAACTAACACTGTTCTTGTGCAACCCACTTCCCAAATACTAGTACCTTAAGACTAATTAAGTACTTCATCTCTACCAATGTAATCACCTCTGTCAATTTATATTTTTGATATAAAACCTTGCTACAATGTACTTTTTCACCTTACCTGATATGTTAGATTAAGGACTTGCCTAAAATGCTATGCATGTTAGTGGCTTTGCAAGAATGTAAAAAGTCACTAATGTAATCTCACCAATCCATTGTACCTTCTAGTAAATAAAATACTATTATTATTATTATTATTATTATAACTGTCTGGTGGTGGTGGTAGTGGTGTGGAGTGAGAGCAAGGATGCAGTGGTGATGGTGTAGGCTTTACCCTGGAGGCAAACACAATGTCGCTCCTACTGTCTGTATCACTTTCATCTGAGTCCTGTGTATAGTCTTTATCAATGTCAGAGTCATCAATATTACTTTCCTCGGCTTCTAAAAATAATTCATTGTGAATTTCCTCATCAGTCAATGACTGGGTAGAGCGGTTCGCTGAGTGTGGTCATGAGCCAGGAGATAATGTGCTCACCCATGGTGTCCTTATCGTAACTGAGGCCTTCCTGACATGGCGGCATATGCTGGATTTTTTCCAAGATGGTGGCTGTTTCCTATCGCCCCTGGGTATCGTATGGGGTGCCTCCTTTACCGCATGGGATTTTTAAATCATATGCGGTACTTTATATGTATATATATACGATGTGTGCCATTCAGTCACTTGTACCAAAATTGTATAACCCTGTGATTATCCGGGATTCGAGCATCCGGAAAACGCCCTTATACGACCAAAATCATGATCGGATAAAGTTATCACAATATCCGGCCAAAATGGCCACAGGAACCGGATAAAAGCTGGTTTGGCCGGATGAAAATTCGGCCATACCGTATTAATCCCGTCTGTGGCTCTAGACGCATGGTGGAGGGGGGGGTGGGGTGGGAGGGGAGCGTCGGGAGGGACCACCTGGGTACAGGAATTACCATTAATTTTAGAACAATTAATCATAGCCAAGAACAAATGAAATAAGTACTAGTAATTATGTAATAACAAATAAATAAGTTTCCTAAAAGCAATGTGCACAGGCTGAAGTTTCCTTCAAAAATATTGTGAGTTTTTTTCTCCTGGCAGCCTATGTAACGTGCTATAGCTGCCCCACCCCAAGTGGACCCGTCCAACACTGGTCAACCCATGTGCGTCCGTCCCTCGTGTTATACACAGTGCTGCGCCATTAGTGAAATATTTTTTTAAATAACTTTTTTATTTTCATAGTAACTTTGAACATTTTTGGCCAAGACTATGTCTGGTAGCAGCATCAATCGTTCTGGAGGTGTTAAGAGGAAGAAGGTTGTCCTAGACAGTTATGTGTTGTTCAACCAGTGAGGCGTCACAGGCAGCCAAGCACCTTCAACAAGTGAGGCGTCACAGGCAGCCAAGCGCCTTCAACAAGTGAGGCGTCACAGGCAGCTAAGCGCTTTCAACAAGTGAGGCGTCACAGGCAGCCAAGCGCCTTCAACAAGTGAGGTGCAAGCAAGCGCTTTCAACAAGTGAGGCATCACAGGCATCCCAAATGCCTTCAACAAGTGAGGCTTCACAGGCAAGTGAGGCGTAAGAAAAGCACCTTTAACAAGTGAGGCATCACAGGCAAGCCAAGCGCCTTCAACAAGTGAGGCGCATGCAAGCGCTTCAACAAGTGAGGCGCATGCAAGCGCATTCAACAAGTGAGGCCTCACAGGCAATCCAAATGCCTTCAACCAGTAAGAATTCAGCAGCTGGCAGTCAAAATTAACTTTGCTTAATGAACTGTACAGTAATTTTAAGTTTTAATTTTAGTGTTGTTTTAGTATAGGTTACGTAAATTGTTAAGAATTCTTAACTTCAAGATGTGTGGCATCAATCAAGAAGACGAACACCAACAAGGTAAGTTGAGGTTTCTAGTAGAATATTTAATAATTATGTGGCAAGGCAATTCAAATAATGTTGTTTGTAGTATAAAAATACTAGTTGGAAGTGGTTAGTTTTGGACTCGTAGGTGAAAAATAACCATTATCCAAAAAATGTGTGAATCCGGCTGGGGGTCCTTCCCATATAGTCCAGATGATCGTGTGGAGACAGTACAGCATCCACTCAATTTATCGGCCTCTTATTTACCGATCAGCCGGTAATAACGACTGGTTTGGGAAACTGGTATCTGGAGCCTCATATACCGGTCTGACAGTCAATAGAACCATAGGTCGGTATTGGGTTTGTTTTGGCATCAGGGAGCCCTCACATCACAAGCAGGCTGCCGACCTCTATCGTCCTATCTCTCACCCTCACTGCATCTCTCCCCCAAACCCTCACTCCTGCTCTCCCCCACATCCTCACTTCCAGCCTTCCCCCCTCCCCAAGAGACCTTTTTGGGAGGTGGCTTATTAAATTGCCAGCCAGACAGCCTGGAGAATCTCCATCTAATACAATAAAGCATTCATGAAACAAGTACTTTTATAACTTTTTAGTATCCTAATAATATTACTAAACAAAATCTGTAACCAAAAATATATATGTTGATGTACATACACGATTTAAGAAACAAATCTGGCTAACGGGGTAGAGTGTGTTAGGCTCATCAGAGTGAGCCGGTCCCTCCACCACCACTGACACATCACCACCACCACCCCTACATCCCATACATCTCATCTCTCTCTCTCTCTCTCTCTCTCTCTCTCTCTCTCTCTCTCTCTCTCTGTGCTTCACTGGTCACATAGTTCAACTCAACACCCCATCCATCCATCCATCCCTCCCTCCATCCCTCCCTCCATCCATCCCTCCCTCCATCCATCCATCCATCCATCTCTCCCTCCTTCCTTCCATCCCTCCTTCTCTCCCTCCCTCTCTCCCTCCCTCCCTCCCTTCCTTCATCCATCCATCCATCCATCCACCCCTCCCTCCATCCCTCCCTCCATCCATCCATCCCTCCCTCCCTCCATCCATCCATCTATCCCTCCCTCCCTCCCTCTATCTATCCATCCCTCCCTCCCTCCCTCCATCCATCCATCCCTCCAGCCATCCCTTTCTCCCTACCCTCCATCCATCCATCCATCCATCCATCCATCCCACCCTCATTCGTCCCTCCCTGCATCCAACCCCCATTTATCCCTCCCTCCCTCCATCCATCCATCCATCCATCTATCCCTCCCTCCCTCCATCCATCCTTCCCTCCATCCATCCCTCCATCCATCCATCCATCCATCTCTCCCTCCATCCATCCATCCTTCCCTCTATCCATCCCTCCTACCCTCCATACATCCATCCATCCATCCATCCATCCATCCATCCATCCATCCATCCATCCCTCCCTCCCTCCCTCCCTCCTCCCCATCCATCCCCTCCATCCATCCCCTCCATCCCTCCCTCTATCCATCCCCTCCATCCATCCCTCCCTCTATCCATCCCCTCCATCCATCCCCTCCATCCATCCCTCCCTCTATCCATCCCTCCATCCATCCTTCTATCCATCCATCCATCCATTCATCCATCCAACCATCCATCCCTCCATCCATCCATCTATCCTTCCATCCATCCCTCTATCCTTCCATCCATCCATCCTTCCATCTCTCCATACCTCCAACTATCCATCCCTCCATCGATCTCCATCCTTTCCCTTCCTCCCTACCTACCTCCCAGCCTCTCCCTGCCTGCCTGCCTCCCTGCCTGCCTGCCTCCCTCCCTGCCTCCCTCCATCCCTGCCTACTTCCGAGCCTCTTCCTGCCTGCCTGCCTGCCTACATTTCAGCCTCTCCCTCCCTGCCCACCTGCCCACTCTGCCTGCCCATCTACCCACCAGTCAGCCATCACTGACACAATGAGTGCATTTGGAGCTGACATGGTGCAAGGATGTTCCTTGATTGCGCAGATATGTCCAACAAAGTCACAGAATGAACATTACAGCCTCATGACAAATCAAAACAATGTGTAAACAATATCTACATTTGAGTGAGGTGGATGGGGCCAAATGCCCACTTGGGGACTGTAAGCTCCAAAAAACCCAGTATATAGGCAAGACAACAACATCTCTTTCTAGGCGTTTAACGATGCATAAACAACAGGGCTCCATTAAGGAACATATAATCTCTTCCCACAACCAAACCATCGCCAGAGAAATCCTAGTAAACAACACAGAAATCATCGATAGATACAGTGATAGCAGGCGGCTTGACGTTTGCGAGGCACTACACATTAAGAAGTCAACACCAGCAATCAACAGCCAATTAATGCACAACTATATTCTACCCACCTCAAGACTCCGCTCCAATATAGAAGCATTAAGAAATATGGACCAATAGGCTTTCTACAATCACTTCCATTTCAATACCCATTGTTTCGTGTTCTGTCTTGTGTTGATGAAATTAATACCCTATTAATGCCACCTCTTGTTCTGCCTTGTGTTGATGAAATTAATACCCTATTAATGCCACTTCACCCCATCCACCTCACTCAAATGTAGATATAAACAAAATCGAAGATGTGTAAGTTCTATTCAGT